CAAGCATGTAAATTGGCTACTTTTGGGAACCTGAATCAAGAGTTAAGATCTATGATCTATAACATAGGTCATAAGATAGGCAAATTAAATATATTCATTTTCCCAGTAAATTGTCCTTTCTGAAAACCACAATCTGGTTATTAAGATTACATCCTATTTATCTTTTTTGTCCCTTGTATATAGAAGTGTCTAATCCTTACATCTTCAAAAGTGTGCTGAGCTGAGCTGAACTGGACAGGGTGCAGAGGAAGCTACTGCCCTGGGTAGAAAGATGCAGAAGACACAGTGAACAGCTTCATGGAACGACCAGTCTGGGAGAAAACCAAAGACATAGATCCACAAGTCACCACAGCGTAGGGAGGCACGAACAGGCTCTATGCAAATGTTATAACTCAGTGTAGAGCAAGGAAAGGAAACCTCTCCCTGCTGAAGTAAGGAAGGCAGAGAAGAGAAGGTAGCATCTAAGCCAGGACTTGAGGCAGGGCTGGTGTTCAGTATATTCAGTTAAGAAAGAACACAAACTTCCAAAATAAGTGTAGTCACTTATTCCTGACAATGATTCACTTTTAGTTGAATATTTGCTTAGAATTAGGAGTCATAGTGATCCAACCAAAAGGGGGAAAACAGGGTGTATCATTCATACAGGGTGATTTTCTCCCAGGCAAAATGGTAAACTGGAAAGGATTTTTTTTTTTTTTTTCAAAAACTTAAAATGAGTAGGTAACACTTCAGCCAATATGTAACACAGTATTTTTACCTCTCCCCCAGTCTTCATACACGTCTAAAGTTGACCCTCTATGAACACAGCGGCGATGCTTATCAACGCTGACTGAAGAAGCTGGGGAGGGAACCCTTGTGTAGGAGGACAGTGCTGGAGAGATCATCAAATCACAGCCTCAGCCCCACTCAGATTTCACCCCCGAGCTCCAGACCCAGAATCCAACCACGACCACACCCTCCACTGCAAAATCTCACAAGCCCTCAGAACATACCACATCCAATGTGGAAGTCATCATCTGCAGTTTCTTCAATGTTCTCTAGGTCACTGAGTAACACAGCAGGAACCTAGACACCAACCTCGATTCTACCTTCGTCATTTCCCACAACCACCATCATCACCAAAAGCCACCATTTTACTGAATGTGAATTAACATGGAGCCAGTTACTGAGCCAAGTGCTCTCTCATCTGATCCTCATAAAAACCTCATAGGGAGGGCTCTTAGCTGTATTTTCCCAAAAAGAAGCTCTTGTTCAGAAAGGTGAAGTCAGTTTCTCAAAAACACAGTTCTGAGTGGCAGCGGCTGCCACACCAGCAGTGGCTGTCTGCAAAGCCCAAGCTCCCCACCACTGTCCTGATGCTGTCTGCTTCTCTCTCCCTCCTTTTTAATTTTCTTTTATATATATGTATATATATATTATTTATTTATTTGACAGAGAGAGAGACACAGCAAGAGACGGAACACAAGCAGGGGGAGTGGGAGAGGGAGAAGCAAGCTTCCCACTGAGCAGGGAGCCTGATGTGGGGTTCTATCCCAAAACCCTGGGATCATGACCTGAGCTGAAGGCAGAAGCTTAAGGACTGAGCCACCCAGGTGCCCTGCCTCCCTTTTTAAAAAGTATCTCTGAATCCCTATCCTTTTCTCCATTCTTACCTCTACTACTTACGATAAAACCTAACTTGTCAGGTTTATTGTAATAGCCTCAAGTCTCAAGCCTCAAAAAGCTATTCTCTAAATTGCCAATCAGGAAAACTTTCAGAAATTAGCCCCACAACCTTCAGTACCTACAGGTCCCAGGCATTTGCCCTGAAGAAGTGAGCCCCATGGCAATGACCTACGTGCTTTTTCCAAACGAGACAGCTGCTAAGCCCCTCCAGTCCACTGATTCCTTGAAGTAATGCAGGATCACTGATTTTTCAGCAAACCCTGATATCCATGTTTCCTGTGAAATATTGGCAACTATTTCAAGAAATGTTAAAATACTCTGTGAATGAGACTAAATTCACCTGTATACTAGATATGACCTATTAGCCCAACTTACAACCTCTGAAATATAAATTTGATTATGTAATTTCCTTGTTTAACATCATTACAATGTTCCTCTGCAACTTTGGGACAAAGGCTGATCTAGATAAGATGACATCAAAGGCCTTCCATGAGAGGGCCCATTGCTACTTCTCCCACTGCATCTCTTATCTGATGCCCTTCAAACACATACCCCATGCCAGAGTAGGGTGCTTACACTTCCTAGAATGTACCCCCTCACTCTGGCTTCTAACATTTCAATGCACTTTTCTGTCTGGCCAGGGTGCCCTTCACCTGACTTACTTATCCCTCAGGATTTAGTTGGGCCACTACTCCATCACACCTAGGCTGGGATCCTGCCCCCTAAGATATGTTTTTGCAGTATCCTAGATCAAAACACACCTCTCACCCAGTATTGTCCTAATATGTGGGCCTTCAACACTGACAGTGAACAACATGGATACCTAGAGCTTCATCTTATAAAGATGATATCTGCAAGTGGTTATCTGTAGTTCAGAGATACCATGAAGGTAATAGCACTCAGTATATATATATATATAACTGTTCAATGAAGGACTCAACTGAACACTACCAAGTCCATAACATCTTTGATCCTCTCCAGCAAGAAGGGTCTTTTCCTCTGAGCAACCTCAACTCTTTGCCACTTTTACCTACTTTAGAATCCTGGAAGGAATAAGAGACAATCATCTTACCAAATTAGCTCCTCACAGACAAGAGTCTATGGATCTCTTTGTACCTCCCCCAGCACCTAACTTAGCTCTTTGCTTCTAGTAAGCTCTGAAATGTTTGTGGAATAAACCACAGCAACTCTAAATGTTCTACTTCCTTCCAGTTCCTTTTCCTTTGGTTAGCTAATCAAAACCAGACTCAACTCTGAGGTTTGCAAATGGATATTATCAGAGAAGTGAGAAAGGAATGGTTCAGAAACACAGACAGCTATTCAATGAAAGCTTAATTTTCGAAATGAATAATGTGGGAAATCTCCTACTTCCAATTGATTACTTTCAAAAGATGGGCATATAGGGGCTCCTGGGTGGTGCATTCAGGTAGGTGTCCAACTCTTGACTTTGGCTCAGGTCATGATCTCAGGGTTGTGGGATCAAGCCCAAAGTTGGGCTTCACACTCAGAGCAGCGCATGCTTGAAATTCTCTCTTCTTCTCCCTCTGCACACCCCCACCCCACACTCTTCCACTAAAATCTAAAAAAATAAATATTTTTTTAGAAAAAAAGATCGTTGGGGGGGGCGCCTGGGTGGCTCAGTGGGTTAAACCTCTGCCTTCAGCTCAGGTCATGATCTCAGGGTCCTGGGATTGAGCCCCGCAATGGGCTCTCTGCTCAGTGGAGAGCCTGCTTCCCCCTCTCTCTGCCTGCCTCTCTGCCTACTTGTGACCTCTCTCTCTGTCAAATAAATAAATAAAATATTAAAAAAAGAAGAAGAAAGAAAAAAGGATGGGCATATAAACAAATGTATTTAAAAACATGGTATACCGTGAGTATTAGGATGGAATCTAATTAAACACTAGGGTGGTATTCAAAGTATTCTATATATTTTTATATATTGTTCTCTCTATATATTCTATATATTGACCACATGCTAATAATAGCAAACGTTTATCAAGAACTGTTCTGCGTGAGGCACTCATGGCCAGTTGGTAAGTCCCAGGAAGAGGTTCTGAACCTGAATCTGTTGGTGACAAAGCCCACATTCTACAGCTGACTCTTGAACAACATGCGGATTAGGGGTGCCAACCTACCTACAGCCAAAAATCTGTGTGTAACTCTTGATTCCCCCAAAACTTAACTACGAATAGCCTGTTGTTGATTGAAAGCCTTACTGATAACAAAAAAAGTTTTATGCTATATGTGTTATATACTGTGTATTATATGTATATGTGCATATGCTATATGTATTACATATTATATGTTATACACTATATACGGTTTTCTTACAATAAAACAAGTTAGAGAAAATGTTATTAGGAAAATTATAAGGAAGAGAAAATACATTTATGGTACTATACTGTATTTTTTTTTAATCCATGCGTAAGAGTACTCGTGCAAACCTCTCCTGTTCGAGTCAATTGTACTTTTCTTTGGCATTGCCTCCTTAATTAACCTCAGCCCTATCTCTGCTAGTTAATCCTGTGACTCTTAACAGTTTATGAGATACATACACTGTGATTTTTTTAGGTGTCCCTGAACAAAGAAATTCCTCAACTTTTATTTCTAGCACTATCAATTTTTTTCCCCAAATGTTTTTATTGAAATCCTCTCTTAAAAACATGTGATAGTATCTTTCACCTATCAGTTTAAAGTACATTGTCTTCTTGGCCCCCATTCCATCAAAAAGAATTTCACGTATTTCACCAAAATTTTCCACTAACGTGCCATAAGGGTAACTCATTAAGTGACATTATTCACTTCCAAAAATATTTTTAAAAAGGAACCTTCTATGTACCAAGACAATATAACATAAATACTCATAGGTCTGACTATAACATCTTATATATTTCATACAATAAAAATATTTCTTACCTGAATTTTTCCAAGAAGAATTAGTGAATATGAGACAATTCCCTCAGGTTAATGATAGGCTGGTGTTAGTAATTTCATTTGGTGGACTTTTTTTTTTTAATTTCCTTCCTTAAGTATTAAAAATATAAACTGTCCTTTAGGTTAGAATGGAGGTCAATTTATTAAATTCATAAGACAGGAGAAAGGAATTATAAACTGAAAGGGAAAAGTTTAATGTAGTAACTGAAATGAAATGAACTTGTATAATTATGAACAGAATAAACACATCTCCAAAAAACATAGTTTTCCCCAAAATTGGCAACTCAGAAACACAACTAATATTAAGTTTTATTGATAGCTCTGTAAAGTTATAATCTAGAGGTTATGCCTTTCGAGACATAGATTAGCCAAAATTAGTTCAAGAAATATGTTCATCTAACCTTTGAGCTGGCACCTTATCCTGGCTAGTCTCTGTCTTAAGACGTAGAAAGCTGCAAAACAAATGTCCAAAAAAAGAAATTCCAGATCTTTTCTCTGTAAGGAGGCTGGACTTGGGTATTTAGCAACTTGTTACATTCCTGGAGACTTACACATATTCAACGCTCAGTGCTTTTCTGAAATAAAAAAAAATCTAGGACATGTTTAAAATAGTAATATTTTAGTTACCATTTTGTCATTCAAAAACATTCTGTAACAAAAATATTAACCAATAATTGAAGTTGTGCTATTCTTTCATAGTCCAAATTCTAAATCAGAGTATTTCAGACCTCTTGCGGCACTGTACCTTCCAATCCAATTTTTCATTTTCAGAATATTAATTTTGGTTCCAAGAGACAGTATCCTTTTATTTAAATGAGTGTTGGACAAAATATCTGAAAAAAAATTAAAACTTCAGATCAATTAGTAACCAAGGCTGGTAGTTTTTTAATTGATAGATCTTTACTTACCTGTTTCTTAAATACTTTGTGTTCCCTTTTCTCTCCAACTTTGGGGAGGAAATGTTAAGATTTGTTTTTTCTTTCCTTCCACAGCATTTTCTTCTTGCATGGCTGCTTTGGTTGTCAATAGCAACAAGAATTACCGTGAAAGCTCAGCCATTTCACTTGAAGATACATAAATAACCCAGTTTAATGAAAGTAAATGGAAGAATCTTGAAACAATACTAATCGTGGCTAGGGTTTGACCAGCTTAGAGGTCCTAGAGGTAAGGGAAGAGATGATTTATTACTTCTCTGTGAATTAACACCTTCCCTCTTTAAAGCATAAAATATTCACTTTTATTTTTGATTTGTGCTTTTATTTGTGTAAATCAAAATTAGGTGAATGAAGCCTTTTTTGGGATAATAGCAGAAGAGAAATAGTCCAAGACCAAATTGATTCAATTAAAGTAATAATTTAACTATTGATCCAGAATGATTGTTCTGTACTTTTCAAGGCCCACATATTGTTATATATACATATATATATATATATATATATATATATATCTGCTTGTTAGAGGTTTTTTTCCACATTGATTAGGTTCATAACAAAGTAGTGTTTTGTATCTATTGTTGTTTATGTTGTTAATTTTAAAAGAACTCACCATATCTTGATGTTAACAGATGTCTTAAAATAGAATAATGAAATATATCAAGTACAATCTTAGCAAAAAGCTGAAAGTAAATCAAAGCATAAATTGCAAATTACATTCTGGATCACATATTAAGGAAAATTGGTTATGGTTAGGTATTAAAAGGGAAAATATAAAAGGATACCGTTTCTTTAATACTCTTTAGTTGCCAATTTTGAATAATCTAATTTATCAAGAAAAATACATTAAATGGTTTTAAATAAAAGTAAACAATAAAGAATAGCAAACATCATTATTTTCTAATTAGTTACATTAATACTAAGCAGCCAAACAGTTCTGTATAGTTTATTTTTGTCTTATAATATCTTAAAGTTGGGTCGCATGTCTCATACTTAATATAAATCAGCCTTGACACATACAGATTTAGTAAATTTTATGGTATCAATGTGTGTCCATTAAATAAGATTTCTAGCATGAAATTTTAGCCCATGTTGCCTATTTTTAAAATTGCATTTTAAAACTATACAAAACTGCATTTTAAATCAAAGCAATGTTAAACCCAGAGTTGATAATTTCCAAGAAGTTTCTGAGGTCTATTTTCTATTGATGCATAAGAAAATTTTCACAGGCAGCGGTCACCATGTTTGTGAAAGCTGCCCCAAATAAATACCCTACATGTATTTTTTATGGTATAAACTCCATTGCAAGAAGTGCTAAAATAGGATTCATTAGTAGCAAATAATATAGAAAAATCTGTCCCATCATCTCCTGATATTGTTTCTCACGGCCACTGTAAACAGCCACAGTAGTAAACACATGCGACTTTGACAGCAAAGCCACTCATAGTTTAGGGGTCTAGACCTCTCTCCTGCGACTTGCCCCGAACCACTGCTTCAGTTCATCTGAATGCTGATACCATGCACTTTGCTGAGGGTTCTCAACGATAACAGGCATGGTTAAAAATAACAAGCACTCTGGGGCGCCTGGGTGGCTCAGTGGGTTAGAGCCTCTGCCTTCGGCTCAGGTCATGGTCTCAGGGTCCTGGGATCAAGCCCTGCATCAGGCTCTCTGCTCAGTGGGGAGCCTGCTTCCTCTTCTCTCTCTATCTACTTGTGATCTCTGTATGTCAAATAAAGAAAAAAAATAAAATAACAAGCACTCTGATGCTTTTATGAGATTGTGAGACACTAAATCTATTAAATTAAATCTATCTAACTAAATCTGGTGAAACGAAACCATTTGGAGATTAGTTTTCCTAGCCTGCAAAACACAGGTTTTCAGAATTGAAATTGGACATTAAAAAAAATGAGGGCTAAGAAAGCCCTAAGGAACCGGCCCCATCTATTATCCAAAGGTATGCCTATCTGTTAGAATACAGTTTATTGTAAATTTAATTATAAAATGCCCAAATGTTAAGCCAAGCATAACCTCTGAAAAGGAAATAATGAAATACCCCAGACTAATAGGACAGATAAAATTACCACATGCCCCAGATAGGAGTCATACATGCCTCTTAAGCAAAGAGCACAGCATGACATATGCACATTTTCACAGGTGACAAATGCCAGGTACATGCATGAAAGGGAAAGGTCCTGCCTGACCCTGTCCTCCTACCTCCCAACCATAACCTGCAGCTAGGAAAAGTAGTAGCTCTAAAAATTTCTCTACACCCAACCTTAAATTTCACGCTGTATTTCTCATTGTCAAAAAATTTGTATTAGCCCAAGAAACTCTATTCATAGACAACTATCCAATGCCAGATATTTAAGACACCAAGATCCAGGACAAGAGATCCCATGAATAGCATTTTAAGTATTTTGGATAATCCCAACTTTCAGACCACTACTTTTTAAGTATTAGAGCTATAGAATTCATCAGAATCCAACAGAAGATTAGAGAACCTAACATATCTACAAATAATTTCTTTATACTTTTCCCCCAATTCCCCAAATAGTTTCCAAAAAAAAATAATTCTGCATTAGTTGGGAATGTCTATATATGGGAATGTCTTAATTCTTGGCCATAGTAACCAAGATATGATGAACCTTTTAATTCACTGATGATTTTAAAACTCAATCCAGAAATAAATAAATAAAAATAAAAATCCAATGGACAAAGGACTTTGAACCACCATTATCTATGTGAAACACCATGAAGTATTTATGCAATCATATGAATATGGGACAATTTATCCAATAGAAACTATTACCATAGTAAATGTGTAGGATATAAAATCAGCTATAAATACTCATGCATGTTAAAATATATATATATACAGCTAAGTGTGAGCTGCAATTTGTGTTTCTTCTATTTGCTATTTGTCGGCATGCAAACATTTGGCAGGTAATTATTAAGCACCTACCAATCTTAACATTGAAATAAAATAGTACCAAAGGCTTTAGAAAAATATTTTGGGTGGCAGGAAGCTTATATTTGGATAGTCTATCTGTGGAACTAGTTTCTGTAAATGTCGCAACACATAACTTTGACCATTTAGGGATCTGTCCTAGAAACTGAGTTTGAGAACCCTAATGTATGAAAATAAGGCAAATATTTTTGAAAAACAACATTGTTTTTGACAAGGTAAGCATAAATCCAGAAATTTCCAATTGTTTCTTTCTTTGTGTATACCAGTGTAAATTTAATCCATGATGATGTATTTCCTAAAATCTCACCATAAATCAGTACTATCTATAAAAGGCAACCCTAACCTTGTGATAGGATGATGTTACAATAGGAAAACGTGTCAGCTCTGGAGAATTTATATCATTAATCTACAGAATGGTTAAAAAGATAATGACCAAATGAAGTGTTCCATTTTAAAATTTAATTGACTCTAGGTTACCCACGTGCCAATAACTGATGGCAAATCCTCAGTCTCAAACTGCCTCTCCCCGTACACGCAGTACATAAGCAAGGATGTCTCTCCAGTCTTTAGTCAGTGTATGGTGGAAAATGAGGGTCTCTAATAAATTATAAATTTTTAAATTTATAATGAATATATAAATAAAAAAGGGTTTTTTTCTTCAAAGTCTACTATATTCTAAAGCAAAGAAATTGCTTTGCCTATTCATATCTTTTTCCTTCCATAATGACAATAACAAGTTCACTTCATATTATTTATTATTAGACTAAGTTAGAAGTAAAATTGTTGAGAGAATCTATGAAAGAATATGGAATGAGGGGCGCCTGGGTGGCTCAGTGGGTTAAGCCTCTGCCTTTGACTCGGGTCATGATCTCAGCGTCCTGGGATCGAGCCCCACATCGGGCTCTGCTCAGCGGGGAGCCTGCTCCCCTCTCTCTCTCTGCCTGCCTCTGCCTACTTGTGATCTCTCTCTCTCTCTCTCTCTCTGTCAGGTAAATAAGTAGAATCTTTAAAAAAAAAAAAAAAGAATATGGAATGAACACATAGATATCTGGCACTATTTTACCACACATAACAACATTTTATCTGATTAAGGCTTTAATGTATTCTTTTATACTGGCTTTATTAGTAATTTTATTAGAAATTCTATTATGATCACAATTATCTCTTTAATTATGCACTACTATTAATTAAATGATGAAATGAGAAAGCTGAAAACTTTTACAGCATCAAAACATAAAATTTATTTAATTTGATATTATTTAACTGAACTCTATACTTTGTAACACATCAAGTTTTAGTAACTGGGTGTACATTCTGCAACTAATTTGCCCTGGTAGATTCCCAAGGATGCACTGTGAATCACAATAGGTTATGCTACTAACGTTTTTCTATGGTTGTAATGACTGATATCATTTCGAAATTTTTTCAAGCCAAATTATTTTGGCTGCATTCTATTATCTTTGATAACAGATTATGTATTTGTTCCCATGACAGAATAGAAGGTTTGGGCTCTAAAATGTAAACTCCTTAGTTCCCTTCCAGGTTGACTGA